GCCACATGGAAATAGGAGTTTTGAAGAACAAGGGCAGCAAACCAGTGGTTGTGATTCAAATCTGGGAGGATGGCAGCTAAGGTAACTATGCAGAATCTCATGTGCTTGATGTGCCTGCTGAGACTCTGGAGTTTGAGAACAGGTCTCATGTCCCCCTTGGACTTGGGAATCAGGAAATACTGTGAGTGGAATCCTTCTCCTCCCACCCCAGCCCACCAATGCTGCAGGGGGTCTTCCTCTAATGCCCCCAAAGCTCACTTAGTCTGGACCTGCTGTAGGAGCAGTGACTCGTGATGGGGGTCCTTGAAAACGGACAGAGTGTGGGGGAGTGGAAATTGGATGGCATAACTTGATCCCACACGCTTAGGACCATTTGTCTGAGGTTATCACTTCCCAAGCACTGTGAAAGTGAGGAAGCCTGTCCCCGAATGGTGGGAAGTTCACAACTGGTGTCGATCAACGAGTCAAAATGGCTGCTTGCCCAAAGCTGGGGGAGGACAGGCTGGCTCATTAAAGTTAGACCCAGGAGGTCTTCCTCTGTGCGACTTGTGCCCCTTCCTGGAGTAGTCCTGCTGCCTCGATAGGTAAGATGTCTCCTGGAAGGACCACTGCGGACAGTACTGTGGCTGCCATGGCTGACCCAGAAATTGGCACCTTTCTATGGCTGGGGTAAAGCCCCCAATGAATGCAGAGTTGCTCCTGAGTTCTTAAATGAATGTAAAGTCTCATCCATTTTGTCAGAGAAGAAAAAAATCAATCATTGAAAACTAGGTCTTCTGTTCTCTGCTGGACCTACGGTTGCTAATTTTGGCAGGACATATTCCTGGAAGTTTCATCACATGATATAATCTTTAATTAATGGTTAATCTTTAATTCCTGGAGACTCCAGGACAATCCTGGAGTGTTGGCAACTCCAGCTGGACCTCCAAAGCTATGCCAGAGTGCTGCACGCATGAGGCCCTTCTCAGCGTGATTGCTGAAGCCATAACTCTGGAAGCTGCATCTGTTATGTCTGGTGCCGACTGCAAAGATGTCTTGGCAGCCAGACAACCTTATGCAATAAACATTCTGAACTCTTCCGTGGAGGGTTCGGGCAACTTGTCTGTGAGTTTGGCTATAGACTCCCAATTCCCAAAATCATATTTCAATAACAGTGCCTGCCGATTTGCAATGCCCACTTATAAGGATGAGGTCGAATAAATTCAGAGAGCGAATCTCTTAGTACTCTGTGTCCTTGGGCATGGACTTGTACCGCCCTTGACATCATCTCTCATGAGCTGCTGTTACAAGAGAGCTAGGGACCATACGAGGATAGAAGCACTCAAAATCCTGCATAGGAATGCAATATCGTTTGTCAGTACACTTTGCCATAGGAGGCAAGGAAGCTGGGGTACACCACAAAGTCTTATCAGGTTCTAACAACGCTTCAAGTTATAGGGAGAGCCACTCTCCTTGGGTCCGAGGACTGAAGAATTTCCACCAACTTGTGTATATTTTCCTGCACAAACTCAGCCTGAATACCCAAGGCTGAAGCCATTCATTGCAAGAGATCCTGATGTGATTTAAAATCCTCAGCCATTGGAGAGGAAGAGTCTAGTATTGCAGAACCAGCTGGTGATAAAGATGAAGGAAGTGGAGCCTGTGGAACCTTCTGTGGCAGCAGAGGTCCCTGTATGAGTGTCTCAGGCTGAACCTGGGTTGAGGAAGCCACCTCTGAGTCAGCAATGTAGGTGACTGAAGAGAGAATACCGGGGATGGCCAGGAGACCTTGCCCTGGAGTGGGCTGACAATTGGGACTTCACAGATTGAGAAACAGTCCAGAGATTCCAAGGCAGACACTGAATATAGGGATACGGCATAGGTGGGCAGTAGGCACTGGGCCAAGACCCGCGGTCCCTATTGCAGGAGCAGTGCTGATCTTGGTACTGATTGTGATCTATAGGAGGTCTCAACAATCTTTGAGAATGATGTCTTGGTAATGAGGGAGATGGTGCCTCCGAACTTGCTCTCGATGACCCCCCCCCCCCAAGTCATCTGAAGACAATGGGGGATCCACCCCAGGTGCAGCAAGCAAACATCCAGCATTGTCTGAAGCCCAATATGCTGGCTGCATCGTTACCAAAGCAGAGAGAGAAGCTGATGCCTTGAGGACAGGCAAGGGCACTGTACTCCCACTTGGCAGCAAAACAAGATGGCGCTGCAGTCAGGGTTGGTATCGATGCCATAGATGTGGTCTGCACTGCAATCATCATCAGTGCCGAAGATAGCAGCTGTGGTAACACGCCTCACGGTACCCATAAGGAGGTTGACCTCGAGTGCCTACTCTGAGTCTTGGCAGTACTGAAGACAGTGCTGTTGACTGAGACAAGTCTGCAGTCAATTCAGGTGGCACAGAGGACCACACAGAAGTACTCCTGGCAGCAGAATGCTCCTGAATAACTGGGGAGCAAGAACAGAGGGGCAAAGCAAGTCTGATACTGCCTGGTATACCAATGGCATGGAAATAGCTGGTGCCAATGTTGTTGGTAATGGACTCAATGGGCATCGCATGAATGGTAAAGTGCTCAACGGATGCCGCCTCGGTACCAGAGAGCGAGTGGATGGCCCAGCTCCATCCCACATATCAGAAGAATCATGGTGATTGTCTTCGCTCCACCTGGAAGAGAAGGTGGAATCTCCCCAACCTCTGGAGTGGTTCTGCAGTCTGGAGGACCTGAGGAAGGAGAATGATCTCTCTACCTCCTGGGGCTCCTGGGGGAGGCATGAGAGTCTGGTCACAGAACACTGGCTCGCTCTAGTTCCAAAGTTGTCTGAAAAAAGAAAAGGAGGACTTGTGGCACCTTAGAGACTAACTGGTTAGTCTCTAAGGTGCCACAAGTCCTCCTTTTCTTTTTGCGAATACAGACTAACACGGCTGATACTCTGAAAGTTGTCTGAGAGGATGAACGATCCACACAGGTCTCCAGTGCCAAGCGGGCCTCATGGCCAGCTCCACAAGGTGCTGCTTGAGGTGCAAGTCCCTCACCACCTCTGTTCTTGAATGATTTGCAGATGAAGCTTCTTTCCTTAATGTGTCCTTCTCCCAGGAGCAACAAGTACCATATATGGGGAGTCACCGCTGGGAACAGCCACCCCAAACAATGGACAACAGTTAAACCTTGGTGAGTGAATATTTATTCTAACTCCTATAAACTAAAAACATAAATACTGTTAAACTAACTTACTATATGGACAACAAAATCCAAGAGAGACCGAGATGGAACAGTGTGAAGAAAATACCACACCAAGTGCTCTGAGTCTACTCAGGAGTGGCAAGAAGGAACTGAGGGGGTTCGGAGGAACACTACCTTTAAATAGCCTGGGGAGGGGCTAAGAGACACAGGGCATGGGTGCTGCCCCTCAGGGTACTACTAGGCAAAGTTCTCTGGCTTGGGTGCACCAGGCACACGCACACCTGAATGGAAAATATGTCTGCAACCACCCAAAGAAAATTTTTTAAATCCCTTCTGAAACGACTTCTGCTACTTGCCAAAACTTTCCAGAAAAAGGCCCCAAGGGTGAAATTAAGGGGTGAAATATGAGGTGGATTCGTTTGTCTTTGATGAAGTTGGGCAGAAAAAGGACTGAAAAAAATTGGGTTTATAACAGAAAGTGAGCGTGCTTCAGTCTTAACTATGGAAAGGCAAATGCCTCTTCAAATTGCTCCCTATGTCTGTGTAACAGAAGAGTTCCACACGTTATAATGCTGCTCTGGTACATGAGATTATTGCCATTAGACCTCTAAAAACTACCACAATAACACACTTAGCACAACAAAGATTTTTTTCAAGGTCTACCAGCGCCATTTGATTACGAGGCAGTTATAATTTATAAAATCCCAGGAATCTGTGTATTTAATTTCCTAGCAACACTCCCATGATGGCGTTATTCTTTATAAGATCCACAATTAAAAAACAAACATGTTTTCTCCTTCTTCAGCCCTAGAATTTAAGTATCATGTGGAACAATCCCATTAGAAGTCAAATGTTTGGAAAGAAGGAGCACGTAGGAATTGAGCAGCTCTTCAAAGGTCTGCACAGGATAAACAATGTGTGTGAGAAATTCTTCCAAGCAATTTTCTCTTCAACTAAGTGTTCAGAGTCTTCAGCAAAGATGGCAACACATTTTACTTAATTCCATCAGAGACTCAGGAACCAAGCCATCTGAATTATAATATCGTCTATGGAGGTATGATCAAATGGTTTGAGAATGGGACTGAGAGCCAGAATTCTAAAGCTGGTTCTGATACTGTCTTGCTGCACAACCTTGGGCAAGTCACTTACTATCCCGTGCCTCAGTTTCCCCATCTGTAAAACAGGGAAAATAATGGTACCTCCCTCACAGGGGTACTGACAGAATTGTTTGCTCAGTGCTTTCCTCTACTTAGGTAGTTCTGTGACCCCCATTCATCACAATAGCCAAACATTTACCTGGGGCCAATGTCCTCAGATGGAAAGCACTGTAGAAGTACAAAATATGAATATGTTATCACGTCCACTCTTTATCCTGACATGTTGTTCACTGTAGGTAATTAATATTCAAATCCGTGGCTACAGGAAAATATTTTATTAATAAAAAGGGGTCAAAATTCTGAATGAAAAAATCCCAAGGGAAAACCAGAGACGATAAAAGGTAGTTACAATTTTTTAAAATTCTGTTATTCAGACACTGTTACTGTCTTAATGACAATCAGATGCTCCGTTTTCTGTGTCACATGCCCTAGACATTTGGTAAAATCATCCATTTATTTCAATCAAAAGGGTAGTGATATTGAGTGAAATGTTACTACTACTGTGCACTTCTATAAAGCCTTTCATTCACAATCTGCTGCTACCTACTTCGCAAAACTTCTCCCTGAAGAACACTCTCCCACAGGGAACGCCCACTGTCAGAGGAACCCAAATACCATAGCTCTTTCAAGGACAACCTGGAAGATCCTTCCCCCAACCGGGTGGAAATACCTGGCAGTGCAGTGATGAAGTCCCTCTGTAACATGGGTTTGAGGTACGAGTTTATATGTCCGTGCTGGTAATGACACATCTGGGAGATGAGATGTTCCACAAACTCCACTTGGTCGGACTCGGACCACTGTTCAAAATACTTGACGCACAGCTCCTTCTCTTTCTCATAGCTTGCAGACAGCTTCCTTTGTTTGGGCACAATCATGCTGGAAGTGCCATTGGCAAGTTTTGTCTTGAAAGGAAAGAAGAAAACATGAAATAAAGCTTGGGATGCTAACATTCTGAGTCTGCATATCCCATTTGCTGCTGTCAGTCCGCAAGTGGCCCCAGAAACTGGTAACCTTGGAGGACAGTACAGTTCATGCTGGAGCTGTACGCAAAGGACTGTGGTTAGATGGAGAACAAGAGTGGCAGCTTAATACAAACACATTTTAGTTACATTTTACACACAGTAAAATGCTGACAGATTCCTAATTTGCCATTATCAGCTACTTCAGTGCACCACAGAAGACTGCATTTGTATTTTGTTTCTCTTCTAAAGTATTTGCTTCAGGGCTACAATGGACTGCTGCTAAAATTAATAGAAAATACATGAGATGGATAAGAAACTGCACAACGATCATTTTAATAACCCACATAGTATACAGTAAAATCTGTTAAATCAACACCCCAACATCTGGTGCTCATCTGTACTTCATGCAAAGAATCAAATACTAAACTTTATAGTCACTGTTAATATTTTGCCAGAAGGTCTCAACATAGTCTGATTTTGAAGAAGGGATCTCAGGGACAGGAGAAAACAGACTCTTCACTCTATCGCCTAAAAGCAAGATGCACGGAAGTTTTGTTTTTAATGATTTAACTGAAAGAAAAGCACACGTATTGTACCATGAGCACATCCCAAGCCAAATTAGCTGTCAACTGGGAAATTATGTTTTCCCATGCTGGTTACTAAATAGCTTTTATTAAATACTAAACTAAGGGAATGTCTGTTTATTTTTAGGATTCTACTGCCCCAACTTAAAAAAAATAAAAAATAAAAAATAAAACCAAGTACAATGGTCTTACATTTAACCAACACAAGTTTTAAAGGGACATTGTCAAGATATATCCATGTACCATGGAACCTTGATAAGTCTCATTTTAGTAATCTGCAAACCTGGTAAGTCTTACTAAAAGGTGGTGTCTAGCCCTACGTCACAGCAAAGCTTTAATAACAGACGGCACTGTAATGACAGTTCACATTATTAGATCATTTCTTTTACAAAAACACTCTAGTCTACATTTGCTACTGCATTATGAATTATCAATTAAAACCAAATTGCACCTATCATGATAAATACAAGTTATATTTTGTGATGTAGTATTTCAGTTTCACTGACTTGCTATACCACAATGTGTATTAACAAAATTAATGATATTTTAGTCAATCTAAAAGAAAATAACCAGACTGTACACGCTCTACATGTAATTTGTACCTAAGAGGAATATACATAGAATCTATTTACTGGGAGGAAGGATCAATGGAAAGATGTTAAGTGATTTGCTAAAAGGCTATAGAAAGTGCCTGCCAAAGCAGGGACAAGAACTCAGGAATTTCTAGCTCCCGGGCTTGTACCCCAGATTACACCTCCCTGTCCACCTAAAATCCTTACCTGTGTTACCCACACCTTGGATTACCAAAAGTGACAGAATGCTTTAAAATCTACTTAATTTTTCATCTAACAGAGATGGCTGGATAGATTTTCTTACAAAACTGCCCTGGTAAGTGGCAGCCATTTTAACAAAAAGTATATTCTGGCTTTGTATTATGGTTTGAATTAACTCTGACTTTCTGAGACCATAGTACGGTACAAGGATAACAGATTGTATCATTGTTCAACTTTGCATCACGAGCAAACTGGTCTGCAACACTTGTTTTGTTTCCTTTCTCATTCCCCTCAAAATGGAGCTGAGAGTCCTCAAACACTGGGGAATGTTTCTGGGAGCATTCAGTAAGGATCATCAAAGATAGCTAATAGCTGGTGGCAGAGTTGCAAACTAACAGCAAAGTATAAAACCCTTGTACAATGGTTTTATATTCTCTCATCATGTGGATAATAGTGTCCCATGAATGGGATATTTGGAGGGAGGAGAAACACACACTCTTCTTCTGGACACTCTCTTTATATAGAGAGAATGCTGACATCTCTGAGGCAACTGTGGGAATGAACTCCATGGCGGGAAAGGTTGGATTTTTCCTGGCAATGGCATGGCATACAAAGATTAAGGATGGGCTGTATTGAACATCAGCCTTGAGGGACTCTGGCTGTTTTTACTGCAGTTTAGCTGTTTGCAAAACAGAAAAACCCATGAAATGCTGGAGATAGTTGACAAATGGTGTATTTTACAAGCCTGACCTCATTTCATTTCTCATTTCATTTGCTGCACAGCCAATCTTACAGCAGGCTATCTCAATAGAGCATGGTTTTTAAACCTGTACCTTCTGCCTTTTGTGTCCTCCTTTCAGTGAGAACAGTCACTATTTGCTAGAGCATTAAATGCCCTCTTACCTGTTGCAATCAAGAAGCCCCTCCAGAAGAGACAGTGCTATCAGACATATGGATAATAAAATGAAGTTAAATATTCATACAAATGTACCACCCAAAAGGTTTTCAGCCCAGAGCTTTCTACTGTTTGTTGGGATGAAGATGTATTACCTGCCTCACTATCAAAAATAACCACAGACAACAGGAACTGCAATCACTGCATGTTACCCAAAGAAGATGCATCTGTGTATGGCATGGGAAAGCGCCCAAATGTAGCCCAAGTGGAGCAGATCACAGTCCGCCACCTTTTTCTTCTTCCCTCCCAGGTTTGAATGTGGAGGCATGACCCTGCAGACGATAGGGGCCACCATTCAGTGCTTCATTTTGATCTGAGCAGCGTGACATGCTGGGACCTGTAGCTTCTGTGAGTGGCACCTTTATACTTGCAGAGGTCTATTTCCTCCTGAGGTCCCTTCCAACCCTGATATTCTGGGATTCTATTTCAGTGATACCATTTTTGAGATGGGGTGACCAGCACTGAACACAATACTCAAGATAGTGAAGGCATTCCATCAATTCTAGTCAGACATCCTGGCACTGAACAGACTGGTTTAGTAAGCTGTCCGTAATTACAAGCTTTTCTTCAGGCCTGAAGAAGCTGTCAGACAGTCAAGCCCAAAGAAGAGCTTGGTGGAGCCTGAAAGCTTGTCTCTTTTACCAACAGAAATTGGTCCAATAAAAGATACTACCGCACCCACCTTGTCTCTCTCGTATTCTGCGACAAACACAGCGACAGTAACACTGCAAACAACAATTACAAGGCCATTTTTCTGAGTGGCTACAATTAACAGAGCCTATTTGTATGCACGAGGAGGTAGGAGAGAACTAATATAACGAAGGACCTGAGTCTAAAGAATTGCCTACGTCTACAAGAAGGGGCAACATTTTAGTATGGATAAACAAAGGTTGGATCAGTCTAAATTTGTGTGAACAAAACAAAAATAACCATGGTATAACATGGTTGGCCCACCAACTTAGTAACAGAAGTTGTTTTGTTGTATAGATGGGGCTTATGGGTCATTCTTCAGTATGGGAAAAGCCAAATGCCGGCACAGCTCTCCGCTACTATTACAAGAATCCATTTTTTCAGCCACACCAGCAATCTATTTATTTATTTATTTTTTGGGAAAAGGGTTGTAACACAGATGTCCCCTACTCAATGTAGAAAACCATGTTAGAGCTCTTTTTGTGTACATATGGACTCCGACCATAAGCTTCTTGTGGTAGGAACTGTCCTGTCTCTTGCAAAGCATGGATGCTCAAAAACCCCAGCTAGTGCCACAAGAAATGCACCTACATGTCTGTGAAGCTCTAAAATGGTTCAGAGAAAATAAAACAATGCTGCAAGTTTCTCACTTGAGTTTCTCTACAGCCAAAGGGGAGGAAAAGGCATTCCATGATATTCCAGCGCTAATATGTCTTAGTCACTTACGTGGGCACGAAAGAGCATCAGGGGTCATGTGTTCTTTGGTTCTCAAACTCAAATACTTTGTCTTGCTTATTTGCAGTTGCATCTTTTCACTACTAACTATGTGCACCACCAGTGCTGGTAAACTCGCTGATCCACCTTAACAGCATTTTTGGATGGGTCCTACTGAAGGGGAGTGGGAAAAAAAGGACATAATGTTTAATTATAAGAAATGATTGAAATAGGCACAGACATACCCCGGGTGCCTCTGCACTGCAGCAAGCTCTAAACTTGTTATCGTTAATGGTTTAAATTTCACTGTGCTAATCATTTCAGGACACAAGCCTTTCTTGATAATCTAATGAATTATTCCAACATCCTTCAGCAAAAAAAATCCTCCTTGACAGCACTAATTACAAGACGTTTTCCCAGTGCTTATGTAAAATATGACAGAGCAGCAGCTTAGGGAATTGCAGAAAACTGCTTCTAATTTCCACTGAGAAACTGACAAACACCTCTCTTCCATCTCTCCCAGCTCTCAAGTAAGATTTAACTTTCTCATTTAGTTAATTACCGAGTGAGGATCATCATTTTCCTGGATCGGAGCGGCTCAAAGCCTTTATCGTGTTAACTTGTGAACTTGATCGATGGCTGCTGCTAAAACTTAATAACTTCACCCCCTGGCAAATTGTAAGATAAATATAATAGGAGAAACTCTGACAGTAAAAACCTGCCAGAAACGAGTGCTGTGTTTATGTTTCTTTGCAGGCAGCAAAAAAACAACCGACAGCTTATTACTGGGTGCGTGTTACTTATATTTAAAAGACTCCAGGCAGTTAACTTTCTGCGTACTGCTCAAACTTTGCTCACAAGATAAAAGACACTGGGGAAAGTCAAAGCAGTGGTACCACGTGGGGGGTTGAGGGGCAGATGGGGGGAAACAGAGAGAGGGCAGCAAACAACATTGAAAGGAAAGTCATGGCCAATGTGCATGTTTAAGCAATTACAAAAAATCTAATGAATCCAGACAAATAACTGAATTAAACAGCAGTACAAGTCATGCTCAAATATTCTGGTGCACTTTAGAAGCTGGGTGGCAAAGGCAGAGGAATTAAATGGTGCAGCTACAGCAGCGAGATGTGTCTCTCTTCACGGTTCTATATCTGGAGAAGTCACTGTCAGCTGAACAATTCCAGCACTGTTGGGTTTTCAAGCCACCTTGTGGCCGCAAAATCA